GTTTTCTTTTCTACAATGGTGTCCTTGGTTGCATATTAAGCTTTACGAATGACTTACTTAAATCTTCCTTCCATGATAAGGTTGCGTGAATCACCTCTAAATTGCAATGAATTCGTTAAAACTAAATACAAAATCGCATGCAGACTAATAAAGTTGGACTTTTACAAATTTCGAGTACTTTATTTGAAAACCTCTTTAAAATCTTTCACTAGTTGTTATATATATTTCTATTCCAAGTGTTCCATAAAACCAGCTTTCTTTTTATCACAAATTTTTATCAATAAATTGATTTTTTTCGTCTCGATGTTCTGCTGACTAATAGAGAGTTGTGTAACGGCCTTCCAGCATAGTACACTTAGGATTCCGCGTTTTGCAACCACCGTGGAAATTGGTCTAACTATAAGATTAGTAATTTCGTTTGTTTGTTACCTAACAACGCATCTATTTAATAATCATGGTATTGAGCAGGAAAAAACAACGGATTCTTTCGGATTCCATAGAAAAATGAAGTGGTCAGCTGGAATGAAAACCAAACTTGCTGGTAGACTCATTAACGCATATATGATTAAATGAATTTTGATGTCAGTTAAATTCAGCTTTTTAAGCTAAACTGTGACATCGCTGAATGAGTCATAAAAGGATTCGAATGAAAAGAAAAAGTCGCTATGAAACATCTGAACTGTGCATTAACTGACCCAGTTAATTTCCATCGCATTCTAGATGAGAATTAAGTGGACAGGTACAACTGAGATGATGTCCAGTTAGCTGCTAAGTAAACAACTTAGCTAAACTCGAAACTCCAGCTAATGACTTGATGTTGTTAATATCATATGATCAGACTGTAACTTTCCAAGGCCCAAATAAAAACTATAATTCTACACTACTGTCAAACTGATTCAACAGATACATCTAACTTTAACCCAAAGAAAAGAGAGTATGAATAATTGGTTGACAAAATCAACGTAGAATCATATGCAGGAGTGCATTGGCTCAAGTTGCCACAATTCGCAGGAGTAAAAAAAGGACAGGTGGGTAGAAAACGAGTGATACAGAAGGAAATAAATCAGTATGAGAGAATAAACAAACTGAAGATAAAGATTGGTGTGAATATTCAACCTTTAGAAGATGTCAAGCAGTGAATGAATCTGCTCCATTGTGACCGATTTTCATCCATGTCACCAACAGTCCCCAACTCATGATTCCTTTCGCCTCGGTGACCCTAACCATACAGTATTTTATCTCCACGCAGCGGCCAGACCAATTGTCAAGAACTTCATGGACTGGTGCGAGGTCTTGATGTGACCACCATGAACCTTTTCTCAACCTAATCCAAGTCCCCCTATTATAGTACGTCGAGGTAGGGGTTGGAGGGAAGAAGCGTCCCACCAGCATAACTCGTTGGGCAATCGCTATATACAAGCCCGACCACCACTTCAAGGTAGCAGCTATAGATCGGGAGAGTATAAATAATTGGAACAGTCATTTAAATCTAAGGTGGTACTTGAGATAGCACAAATACGATTTATCTGTCGAACAACCATCAGTCAGTGAAGCATAACTAAGAAATCAGTAAACAGTCAACCACTTCCCACCATGGGATGTAGGACTACTTTCCTGTCCGTTGTGACAGGACTTTGACATATGATGACTGCATGACAGGAATATGATGAGTCTGTTAATGTAGTGCAGAAGTTTATTATAGGTATTTGAATTCCAAATAAGGGAATAAGCAAGCGGATTCAAGAGTATACTAGAACTTCAATCGCTGATTTAAAATAGGGACAAAATCATGAGAATGATCGTAAACTGTAAGCGATCATTAACCTGCATACCAATATGCACATAAGTACTATTCGAACCCGACAACATTTACAGCAACAGAATTGTCCCTTCCAATGTTTTAGAAAGATAATCCACCAACTCATCTAATTACATGTCAGCGTCACCTGAATTAAGTGGTAACAATGTCCTTCAAAATGTGCAAAATTAAAAAACAAGTGTCGCAGATAAACTCATCTAAAACAGTTTTGCCGATTGTTCCTAAGTATCTTTTGGTTTTGTACCTATTTTAAATAAAACCTGTCTATTAGTGTGAAAAGAGTTCATAAAGTTCACATTTTCATGTATGCAGAACTTCAGAGTAACAGAAAACCATTTCTTTTAATATTACTTCATGAATAACCATTAAACCTCATTATCAAAATAATTTAGTTTATTGATTTCACCTAACCTATTTTAGGAACATTGTATTATAATGACATACTTGCATTTCAAAAAATCTTTAAACAAAAATTGAACACGGATGGATAGTGGGTAACAGTGGAATCCAGGACAAGCTACAACATACACTAAAACCTTTTTAAAATTTTTTGGTAGTATTCATCGTAGAAAACACAACATAACTTGGCGGCATTAAATGATCTTCTTATGGCATTTCCTAAGCGTTGTGTCACAATTTTGCTGATGATGTCACCTCGAAATTGTAGTCTTAGAAACAATGGTTTCTTGGAGACTGTAGGCATTCTGGTTTTCATATTGGATGTGTTCATATTTCTAGCCAGGAACGTTTCTGGATATCCATTACTACTGAGTAGATCGTGGATAATTTGAAGCTCTTCGTCAAAACTATCATCTGAACAGATGAGTCTCGCCCGTTGGACCAAACATTTAAGGAGATTTTGTTTATATTGCAAGGGGACGAAACTCAAGAAGTGGGTGTATTGACCTGTTGACGTTGGTTTCCGGTACACACTTCTTTTTATAGTTCCATCCACCTTCCTTGTCAATCGGACATTTAAGAAGGTGATGCTGCCGTCATTTTCTGTTTCAATAGTGAAGGTTATTGCTGGATGGACACCATGAATTTCATCCAGTATGATCCTTGCATCATCCTCGTTATTCACAATCAAGAATGTATCATCTACATAACGGCAATAAAATTCCAACCCGCTTATGATGCTATCCAGAGGGCCATTTTCTAATTTTGCTAAGAAGAACTGGAAAAGAGAAACATAGAAATTGGAATTACGGCATCCACCTTGAAAGAGCTTCTCTTACGATGTACAATGAATGTACACTTTCTCTTCAATAAGGAATTCTATAGACAGTCAGACGGTGTCGCTATGGGGTCACCACTAGGCCCAATCTTAGCGGACTTCTTCTTAGCAAAATTAGAAAATGGCCCTCTGGAAAGCATCATAAGCGGGTTAGAATTTTATTGCCGTTATGTAGATGATACATTCTTGATTGTGAATAATGAGGACGATGCAAGGATCATACTGGATGAATTCAATGGCGTCCATCCAGCAATAACCTTCACTATTGAAACAGAAAATGACGGCAGCATCACCTTCTTAGATGTCCGATTGACAAGGAAGGTGGATGGAACTATAAAAAGAAGTGTGTATCGGAAACCAACGTCAACAGGTCAATACACCCACTTCTTGAGTTTCGTCCCCTTGCAATATAAACGAAATCTCGTTAAATGTTTGGTCCATCGGGCGAGACTCATCTGTTCAGATGATAGTTTTGACGAAGAGCTTCAAATTATCCACGATCTACTCAGTAGTAATGGATATCCAGAAACGTTCCTGGCTAAAAATATGAACACATCCAATATGAAAACCAGAATGCCTACAGTCTCCAAGAAACCATTGTTTCTAAGACTACAATTTCGAGGTGACATCATCAGCGAAATTGTGACACAACGCTTAAGAAATGCCATAAGAAGATCATTTAATGCCGCCAAGTTATGTTGTGTTTTCTACAGCCGGCCGATGATGACCACACGAACTAAAGACAGACTCCCTGACTTCTCCTCTTCTATGTGCATTTACCAGTTCAACTGCTCCTGTGGAGCTAGTTACATTGGACGTACAGTTAGGCAAGTCCGTCGTCGAATCGCCGAGCATCATCCTTCATGGCTAAGTAAGGGGGAAACCAGACTGACACGAAGCTCAATACTCTCTCATCTGATTGACACCGGCCACCGAGTTAACATTCATAATGCCTTTAAAGTTATTTATCACATTCCTTCTCACCTCACCCATCCTCTACGAGTCCGTCTTTTACATACAGCAGAAGCCATAGGAATCCACCTACACAAGCCAAGTCTGTGTGTTCAGAAGAGATTCGTACAGCCTCTTTCTTTGCCTTGGCCATCTGTATAGCTCATTTATTACAACAAGACTCTTCATTTCATCCACCACACAATTCACTATAACTAGTATTTCAATAGCTCCATTATTATTATTATTATTATTACAGACTTAATCATCTTTCTCTCCCCCTACTGTCTCTAATTACCGTCAACAATTTACCATTTTACGTAACAGTTCATTTTTGCTCTTTAGTTATCATTATATAAAATATCAATTATGTAAGAACCTGTTCGCAAAATCTTTCTACGATAATTAATCTTTGCTTTAGCTAACTGTCTTAATTACCTGACCAATTATCACCTTCTTGAAATTTTGAGATTGATAACCTTTCACTGAACAACTCTCACCACTAGATTGGTATGTAATTTTACGTTTGAAAATGCTATATTAGTGTAGAGCCATTGATGAGGAACTAATTGAAAAGAAATATTTCTTCGCTCACATTGTTTGTTTTATTCAATGAAAGAGCATACTTTTCAGAAATACTAAATGTTATTGTTTTACAAAGATCTGATTTAAGTTATTTTCGGTAATACAGTGAATGTCGATTCTAAAACGTAGGCGACACATGAAATATCGAAAGATATTTATTTAATGAATATAGTATCTTGTGCCCTAATCAAATCAAAAATTTCCACAGTCTATATTATTTGTCTAATTTAGTATATTTTAAGATGGATATTCACAAAAACGTATTTGCACACGCCTTTTGGTTAATATCACTTGCAGAGGAAGTAAAGTCTCACACATGAGAGATTAAGAATTCTGAAAAAGCCAACGACATTTAAAATGATGTATGTACTGTAAAATAAACTGCATATTGTGGTGAAAGTCACTTACCAAATTCGTGCCAGAAAAAAGTTTCATTTGAAATAATTTTTTCACGGTCCCATTACCGATGATCAAGTAAATAAATTTGAGAATTACCATTTTCAAATGAGAATTATTCTGTAAACTGACAATATATACAAAATTGTGTAAAGTGTAAAGCTGATAAATCTGGAAATCATTTGCAGAACAATTATTCGCCCATGCCGTATATAATATCTGTTGGCTGTTTTCTTCAATACCGTCGAAAACAGTTTACACTGAAACAGACCCACAAAGACAATTAGCCTTGATTTTCGACAGCGTGTCATGCATAAATGAATATCATCCTTACTCAGAGAACATTAAAGTCCAGACAAGCACATAATAATTAGCTGAACTGAATGCTGTAGATACTCTTAGATGAATGATGGTTGTTTGGTGTTCTCTGAGTTTCAGCATTTCGTCATTGATGTCTCATTACCAGATTTGTTGACTTCCTTAAGAAATGACTTCCCAGTCAAAAAATGTCAAATCTCAGAGAACATCAAACTACTAAAGTCCTCATCCTGAGCTATAAATCTTTTCTATCACCACTCAGATGGAATTCTTGAGGTAAATCATAAATGGAATCAAACATAACATTTATATTAAAGAACACCCATGAGCTACTAAATTTGAATCATCACTTTGTTTAGCATAATACTTCCACTTTAAATTTATTTATCGCTCAAAAAATTAAATAAAGCTAGTGATAAAATAACATTAGTTAACTTTAACTAACCTGTATACTTATTTCTTTCTTGAATAGAACTCGTTCCCAAACATTGTATGGTCAGTTTAGATTCATAAATCCATCCCGTTTTTTAGATTTAAATGATTTTTGAATTATTGTATATATACAAAAGTGTAACAAATATGTGTTTAGTGAGTGAAACTTTTTTTCTTTTGAAGCATTCATTATCAAACAATGTTACAGCTCTCTCTACCCTAAAATATGATTGGTCACTTGATTCTACCAATAAAATAGCAGATATACATTATAGTATATTATCATTATATTATATTATTATTATATATTATACATTATATACCAAGTTATTTATCATTTGGTTATGAATATTCTGAAGGCCTAGATGAAAAACATGTTATTAAGATTTTTTTTACCATATGTCGTCAGAAAAAAATCATGCTCTTCTCTACTATGAATCTGAATATCACAATGCAGATAGCTGTGAAAAGAGAAGTTTTGTTTGTTTGCAATTCTTTCTTCTTACCTTGTTGTGCAACACATTACCTACTAAAATATTTGAACATAGACTGTCTTTGGTAAATCAGCTGTCTGCAACAGAAAAAAAGAAAACACTTTAATACTCTTGAATCCTTAACCTGTTAACTAGTCAAAACATAAACACATGTACTGATTGACTAAAATTTAGATACAAATAACTACAGTAAAATATATATGACATTTAACTGCTTCGAGTTGTTTTGTAATTTGTTCAGTAACTCAGTTATCAAGAGTAAAGACTTGATTCACGGCTAATTTAAGTGTCACCAGTCACCATAGAAAGTCTTTTTTATATCCATGTGTTGAGTTGCAACTTTGAGAAGTAAAATTAAGCTTTAGGGTTGGTAGAATACGAATTTTTCTCAAGCTGTCTCAAGAGTAAACAGCATGCCTTCTGGCACTTTTCCGTTAAGTTTATCTCTTAACTGAAGAAAGGTCATCTGATGTAAGAATCTCAGTTATTTAGCTCTTCATGTGTCCTAAATAATATGCCAAACTGTCCAACTGTATATTAAGTTGAATAATTGTGTACAATATCAATTACAGAAAGAAGATTCTTTCATGCAATGATAATTGGCCTAATGAAATATTCCAAACTCATTTCTGTGATTGTATTGACTTTTATTTCACATAGAACTAATCCTTGAAATATTTCACCAGTTTCTGCTGTGACAGAACCATGTAACTATTTATTCACTTTGAAGCGTTTTGGGAAATAATAACCTTTTGACTGACTTAATTTCTACGCGCTATGAAAAAGCTACCTCATGTTTATTTCTGATTTTGAAAATCACTAAATAACAGGAGAAATTTTGGAATAATTATTATTTTATTATTTCCCTTTTGGTTCCTAGTGAAACAAAGGGCTTCAGAAGCACGTCTCCATTGTACTCTCTTATCTCAAGGCTTCTTTCTTAACCTGGCTCCACAACTGCACAGAAGCTTTCATTTATTCCTCGCACCACCTCCTCCACGTCACCCCCGCCTCGGACGCCCAACTCCTCGTTTCTCGTTTGCATTCCACTCGAGGTCCTGGCCTGACGCGTGATGTCCCTGAATAGTCTTCTGAGTGTATGCCTAATCCGATCCATCTACACTTTCTTCTGCACATTTGTTGGGCGATGGGTTCTCGGTTCGTTGGTTTGTTGCCAGCCAGCCAGAGTTCCTCCTTGCTTATTCTTATTGTTCTGTCCATCTGATCTGATCTTCAGTATCGAGTGAGAGTAGGTGGCTGCTGTTGATGAATATCAGTAGATTGTTGGAAATGCTTTTCGTGACGCGCCAAATCTCTCAACCACCACATAGGGCACTAATTTGCTTAACTGAATCAGTGTTGGAAATATGGATCTTGTTCTTTATGAGTGTAGGAGATCTTCACACCGACTTCAAACTGATGAAGGCCTGTAGTGCTGTCTTTCCGATCCTGGATTTGACGTCCTCATCTGCGCCACCATCTGTAGTTAGCACGATGCTGTCTAGGTGCGTAGATGAAATGAGACTACTTCCTTCAGATTTTTCCTATGGCTGGTGATTGGTGCTAGTTGTTGTTGGTTAGACTGCTCTCACAGATTCCTAGCACTTCTATTCTATAACTTCTCATCTCTTTGGCAATGCGGGCAGCCTTGCTAGCCAGCTCCAAACATTTCGTAGACTTTCCATGTCCCTGTACTTACTTTTGCTTTCATCGACAGAAGACAGATGGGCCAATTGGCTTTCACCAACCGACGTCATTTCACCTCTCCAATTCTAGCGAGGAATAAGTTTCTTTTGAGTTTTTATATTTTTTTTGCTTTAAAGTTTCTGTAGCTGTTGGATTGGATTTAGGAGGTAGGGTTGGCAGCCCTATGCCTAACCTTCCCTCTTTACCCGGGCTTAGGACCGACTAGTAACTAGTGAACTAGTAAACTAGGTGGAATAATATATCTGTCCAGTTTACTCATGCATGGGTGTGGTACTTGAACGATTAGTCACAGGCATTCAAGGAGGTTTTGGTTCAATAAAGATTTCATTTAATCTCCAAGGGATATATTTAGTCAAGGATCTAGTCCAATCATCTTCAGAAAAGTATGGAACCAGACCTCATGGCACTGGATTGACGTTAAATTAACAACACATCATTAGCGCCTTAATGATGTGTACCAAAAAGCATTAGGCCTTGGTCAGGTAGGGCTTCCTGCTGCTTGCTGTGAACTTGTACAACAGAAGCTAAGATATCCTGACATTTGTTTCTAGTATTTCTGTTAGGTTTTTCAAGCAGAGTGTAACTTCATACTTCTTCAAACATCGAGAGAGAGAGACAGAGAGTGAAAATCTAAAATCTCCTCACAACTGCTTTTAGTACTTCTCTTTACTGTCTTACTTAAGATGTTTGAATTCAACGGATGTACCAAAACACAGCTGAACTTAATTTTAATTTCATAGAAACTAATGCGTAATAATCCAAAATGAAATGGATACTTCAAAACGTGTCACTCCATAGAGTGTGAATGCTTCCTAATAAAAATATACAGCTTTTCATAAGTAATCAAATAATTAAAAATTACAAATTCTCACTTTTTAAAATTCAGTTTAACTGGGTTTTTTAGGACGACGCCATAATTTAATCATAAGTCGTTAGCACTAGTAAATTAACTTGGTATATGAACTGTTTTTGTCCTTAGCTTGACATTCTAATGGTATTAAAAATGTATGTTAATGTCAGAAAAAATAAATACACAAAATGAGGTTACTTTATCAGTGTAAAATAAACAACTGTATATTATTCAGCAACTGAAGATCTTCGGCGTGAATTTTTTCGTTCCAAACAGACAATAGATTATCTCCTACCCAGAGTATAAATAATATTTTTACTTCAGTTTTAATAAAATTCACCGTGACTCGATAACTAGCTAAGTTAACAATGCACTTCCGTAAAATAAAAGTGTTGGTTGACAGTTGAAGCACATTATTTATGCTTTGTTAAACCATAAGAATGGTATCACCACTGACAGACTATAAGAAGCACACTATGAATCCGAGAAGCAAGTGAGAAATCAGTCACAAAAGGTTTTTGAAAATTAGTAATTCTCCATGTACCACTTACTTGCATTAAAGAGCAATCATTTAATCTAAAGTAACTTTGTTACCAAGGTAATATGCTCAAAGTAAGCTGGAAGGGTAATCACAGAAATAATCTACCAACCGAATATTGATAACAGAATGAAGTCAGTTAGGAAGGAAGTTGACGGTTATCTCATTTTAACTTTCTCAGCTCCTCAATAATACTTTATCATGACTCTGTACAACATAACGCTCAAGATGTTCGTGTCGTATCAGGACTCCTTCATTACTCAGTTCACATGCCAAATTTGAGCAGTCGATATTTTAAATTTGCTGCTTCTCAACAAAGTGTAGCCGCCAATGTTGAGCATCCCTCTTTCTTCTGTATACACAGTCTCAGTAGCGAATGATACTGTTTACCATAAACTTTATGAAACCCTTTAAATACTGTTTTTTTTCCGTAAAAATATGCTGTCATTCTATCCACTGTACATGCTAGCGAATGTTTCAGACTATATTCAAGTGTAGTTAGGCCACAAAAGAACTAGATTACTTCAATTCCTGTTCCAATTAAACAAAAAACACGAGTTATCTGCAAAGGTTGATTAAATTTCCCATGAATTCAACTATCATTTAGTAGTTAATTTACCTATATTTCGAAAATACCATTCAACAATACTCTCACTGCAATTATGATCACTTGTTAGACAGTAAAAATTGTTTCCTGCATACAGTCGAACAGAATTGTAGTCAACAAATAGTGCATTTCTTTTGGTTCGTGAATTTATTACAT